TATAGAAATTTCATTTTGATAGGAGAGACAGAAAATAAATAAGTAGATTATGTAGCATGTTAGAGAATGTTCAGTATACGGAAAAAAGGAGCAAAGTGGGTGGCTGAGGTGTGCTTGGGGTGGCGAAGTAAGGGCCATGGTAATGATGACGAAGAACACCATTAAATATGGTCTTCAGAAAAGAAAATCTTGTTGAGAAAGTGAGATTTGAGCTAAGACCTGAAGGAGGTGAGAGAGCGTTTCAAATAGAAAGCACAGATAGAACAAGAACTCCAAGGTGTGATCACATTTAGCTTGGTCAAGGGATAGCAAGGAGGCAAGCGTGCTACAGCATGATGAGTGAGGAGAAGGGGGACGGACATCAGGACAGAGTAGAGCAGGGTAGAGGTCAGGCAGTACCCTAAAGCTCTTGCTCTGTGTGAGATGGGAGTGAACCATTGGAGAGTGTTAAACAGATAAGTAACATGATCTGACTTAACGTCTTAAAAGGGCCAATCTGAGTGCTGTGCTGAGAATACATCTTACTAGGGCAAGGGCTGACAAGGAGACTTGTGAGAGACAAATGCCACAGTCCAGGCACCCTAGACCAGGGCTGTAGTGGTGGTCAGAATGAAGATTGCCCAGATGCTGGATGCATTTTCTAGGTAGAGACAACAGGATTTCCCAATAGATTGCATGCAAAGTGTAGGGGGAAAAAAAGCGGGGGTGGGGGGGCAGGGAAAGAATAGCTCCTCGGGCTGAGCGGCTGGAAGGATGGAGTTGCTATCAGCTGACTGGAGAAAACTGCAGGAGAGTAGCCAAGGAGGAAGAGCAGGAGTTCATTTGGACTGGTCGGTCGAGACTTTGATGCCTATGACCTATCTGAGAGGAGATGTGGCTTGACATTTTAATATACAAATCTGGAGTTTAGGAAAGAGATCTGGGCTGAACATAAGTATTGGAGAGTTGCTGGCATATAGCTGTATGTAAAGACGTTAAGTCGTTTGTGAATGAAACAGAGAAGAGGACCAAGGAATAAGTCATGGGTCTCCAGACAGCAGAAGGTGACAGGAAGAAGAAAAGCAGCATTGACTCTGAGAAAGAGTGATCGGAAAGGAGGGAGGGAATCCAGAGTGTCTTGGAAGCCACGTGAAGGAAATGTATCAAGCAGAGAATTGCCAACAGCGTTGAATGCTTCTGACAGGGCAAAAATATAAAGAGGGCCAAGGACAGACCAATAGATTTAGCAACCTGGGTGACCCTGACTTTGCAGGGCAGCTTTGGACAAAGACTGGGAGTAAAAGCCTGACTAGAGTGAGTCTAAAAGAAAATGGAGGGGAGGAATTGGAAGCAGCGATGCAGGCAACTCTTTCTTTTTTTCTTTTTTTTAGATGGAGTCTCACTCTGTCACCCAGGTTGGAGTACAGTGGGGCAATCTCAGCTCACTGCAACCTCCGCCTTTCAGGTTCAAGAATTCTCCTGCCTCAGCCTCCCTAGTAGCTGGGATTACAGGTGCACACCACCAAGCCTGGCTAATTTTTGTATTTTTAGTGGAGACAGGGTTTTACCATGTTGGCCAGGCTGGTCTCAAACTCCTAACCTCAGGTGATCCACCTGCCTTGGCCTCCCAAAGTGCTGGGATTACAGATATGAGCCACCATGCCCAGCCTACAGACAACTTTTTCTAAAACATAACCCATTTTTATTATTTCATGTCAGTATTCAGTATCCCCACTGATTATCTACATGCACCATGATTACATGGTTTCAATCAGTGATCAAATTATATGTCTATTTTCTCTTCATACTATATCATAAATATCTAACGGATGCTACATAATCTTCATATTTGTCTTTTTTTTATTGTATTTTAGGTTTTGGGGTACATGTGAAGAACATGCAAGATTGTTGCATAGGTACACACATGGCAGTGTGATTTGCTGCCTTCCTCCCC